ATCTAAAACATTATGTAGAATAAATGCGTTTTCAATATCTACTTTCAAAATCAAACACATCAAGGCAAGATGCATGTAAAATAGACATACTTTTATTACTGTATCTTGCAAACATATCATGGTACAATATGTATAGGTAATCACACAGGAAGGAGTGCAATTGTATTATATTGTATTTTTATTTCACATCCCTTAAAAGGCTTTTCAGCGAAATTTTACATAATTGATCTAAATTTTTTATACACCATAATAATAGAGACACACACATAACAACACACAGTCACACACATACGTGGTAGTACTACACAAATATATATGCTATTTACATCAAGATTTCTTAAGATTGGTCCTATTAAATGTTTCTACAAGTCTCTGTTTTAAAACATTTTTGAAGTCTTTCGTTGTTTCGCAGGCCCTAAGTTCTGGTTTTAAGGAATTCCAAATTGTGGCCATTCTGAATTTGAAAGATCGTTGACCAGTTGCTGTTCTGTAATAAAGAAGTATCAATCATGCTCGAGTTCCTAGTAAGTAACGCGAGATGAAATGTCACCTCGTCTCACAAACTGTTCAGTTAGGCATGCAGGTGCGTTTCCTGTCATGCATTTAAATGCCATGACTGCATCACGAAAATATAAATACTGTCGAACTGGAAGCCACTTTAGTTCTTGCAGGATTGGAGTGACATGATCGTGTTTGCCAACTCCACTAACTATTCGACAAGCAAAGTTCTGCACTACCTGTACCTTATTTAAATTTGTTTGGGAAGTGTTGCTCCAGACTGTAGAGCATTAATATAATTTTGAAAAAACTAGAGAGTTAATAATAATTGTTAATGTGTGTTTGTCAAAACAATGTTTCACGCGGTTTATTTGACCTAAACGAGACATACATGAGGAGATAGTGGCTTGTACATGGTTGTCGAACGTCAGACCAGATCTGGTTCAAGATTACGCCGAGATCTTTGGCGCTTGTCACAGGAATGATTTCTTTACCGAGAAGTGAGAGGCGTAAATTAGGAAGTTTTGCTCTCATCTATCTGCTACCGCATATCATGGCCTTAGTTTTTTCTGGGTTTAACAGTAACTTGTTATCAAAACACCAGTTACGTATTCGCAAGAGATTTTGATTTATTTCTGAGACAGCTCTTTGTTGCTGTTGCAGAGAAAACGACATTAAAAGTTTTGTGTCATCGACATAAGAATAGGGAGAGCATTGTTGTGGAACTGATGGCAAATCTTTCACATAAATACTAAACAGAAGTGGCCCAAGTATACTTCCCTGAGGTACTCCACTCTTTACCTCTCAAGGCTCGGATAAGGTTGCTTGTATTCTTACTACTTGATACATGGATGTTAGATAGCTTTGGAACCATTGTATCGCCTGACAAGACGCGCCAACAACATCTTCTAACTTACTAATCTGCAGAGTCGTGGTATCTATGCAATCGAATGCTTTGCTCATGTCGAGTAACACAATCGCAGTTAGGTGTTTCTTGTCAATGACATTCAAGATCATGTCTGTAGCTAGTCTGAATTACCGAGGTTTCTGTTGAGTATTACAGTTTCTGTTTCTGTTATGATTAACACTACGAGTAATTTTTGAAAAATGTGCCAAAATTTCACGAGCCGCCGAGACGAATACAATTTGGCACATTTTTCAAAAATCACGAGTAGTGTTAATCATTATTTGCACGACTTACCCATGTGATTATTTATGCACTAGTCAATTGAAACCCCGGCCCCCCGACCTCCGGGATAGGGCGGGGAAATTAACATTTTGACAATGGTAAATTTTGGTAATTTTCCCGCTACCTGGCGAATATTGACTGTTAAAGTTACCGCCCCTATGGCCCAGGCACTTTGCAAATTTTCATGACTTGGTAAAAGGGAAATCGTTGAATGTGAAGGCAATTCTTGATCTCAAACTTTGATCCGCATCAAAAAATACTGAATAATCTGCGTTTCGAATATCTTGCAGTCATCATCAGGAATATATAAAAAGTGAAAATATATTCCCTTTTTTTAAGAAAAACTATGCAATATGAGGAAACAATTCTCTGATTTCGAAGATTCCGCCATGTTGCCAAGAGAATAAACTCGTTCGAGTTCACTTTCATATCAGCCGCATGTTAAAGTCCCGGCTATTGTCCCGGCTAATAAATTTACTTCTTATTTACCCTATACACCGGGGAAAATGGTGCATAAAGACCGTGTTAACCCACGGCCATTGCCCCGTTAATTTCCCGCCCTGTCCCGGGGGTCAGGGGGCCGGGGTTTCAATTGACTAGTGCATTATTAATAATATGAATGACAAAATCGCGCTTTCTTTAAAATTCAACTACATTTTGCCAGTAGTTTTCAATTGTTTTGTAAACAATTTGCATGCATAATCAAACTTGGAAATGGTCATAAACTCATAAAGACACATAACTTAAACTAGAACACATGATTCAAACCAAACAACATATTTTAGAGTAAGAAAATCTTTATAAATTATGTTACAGACTTACATAGTCACGTTTTGCTGCATCCCGCCGAGATTATTTCTTAAAACTACTTCCAGGTATTTTCCACACGCTCTTTTTGTCACACTATGTTTTTTAAACTCATTCTGGTGCCAAAATTTTGTTAAATTCGTCCACGTTTGTAAGACAAATTTCGCCGCCATATTGGATTTTTGTTATTTTGATTTCCCGCTCCCCCCAGGCATCACGAAAATTATTAATTGCACTCCTGGAGAGTGCTATTAATGATGGTAATAGAACGAATAGGAGTGCTATTAATGCCATAATCATACGAGTGATTACAAAATCAACCGACCGCGTAGCGGGAGGTTGATTTGTTAATCACGAGTATGATTATGGCATTAATAGTACGACTTTAATTCGTTCTATTACTTATTAATTATTTATCTTCTGTAATCAAACTGTTTAAGGGGGAAAAGGAGAAAAATACAATTTGTTGAAGTTCAATATAATTATTAAATTTTTGTGACGACAATTCTTAGTGAAATAGTACAATTTTGAATTATTGTTTATCATATATAATCAAATTAACATATTATTAACTTCCGGGCATTATTTCCGGTATAATCACACGACAACATTTGTTTAAATTATTCAACAATCAACACACAATTGGGAAGCCATGTTTGTTCAAAATAGTGAAGTTCTTTAGTCCAATTAATCATCTGAATTGGATTGAAATATAACTCCTGGTTGTGTTTAGTTCGGTGTCTTCTGCTGGATGAACAGGTAGGTCATTTTCGTCAGAAAATATATGTTTTAACAATCCTCGAAAACGAGATCTGCATTCGGCAATGCCGACCTACAGTATTAAAATGCCGACCTATCAACCTCCCATGTCGGCAATGTTTTGCTGACCTTAATTCAGCCAAAGTAATAATCTTTTTTGGTGCTTATAGCTGTTAAAAAGTCAGCGATTATAGAATTCGATGCACTTTGGTGTAAGGTTTAAGAATTAACGGGTATATTTATGATATAATTTAGGTAAAACTCTAAAAGAAAAGGCTTCGTGACATTTATACTTTTTAATGATTCGTAAATATGTGATTACTAGTGCAGGCTACTAGTGCTCCAAGACATGGAAACAGATTTTAAACAATGCCGAGATGTACCGAGCTAGGTCAGGTTTAGGTCGGCATTTTTTTTCCGACCTCAATTTCGACGGTTTTCGAGGGCTGATTTAAAAATTAAAAGGTCAAAATTTGTGAATTCCTCCATTTTGAAATTTTTTACAGCAATAAAGAAAATAAAATTCAAAGTTTGTATCCTGAATGCTGATTGGCTAGTTGTAAATACTAGACTGATTTTCATTGGCTGTAGACAAGAGTGCGATTACAGCTCAAAAAAGGTGCGATTAATGCTCAAATCGCATTCCTGTAAACCAATGAAATTGCAGTATTTACCACTGATTACAGAAGATAAATAATTAATGAAATGATTGCACTCCTCTTAACCAATCAGATTGCAGTAATTTTGTCATGTATATTATATCTCGTACAGCGTTCAAACTAGCATGACGATTAACAGTGACTTCGCCCCTGTTGCTGCTTTTGGTCTTCCAAACAAGGGCCTTAAAATAATGCAGCTTAATGTGCGATCAATAAAAAACAGACTTGAACAAATTAAACTGCTTTTATACGCTCAATCAATTCTTATATTAGTTCGTGCTGAAATTTGGTTAGACGAATCGTGGTCGGACTCATAATGTCGGGATATATTAATGTCTTTCGGAAAGACCGTGGAGTAGCTGGAGGTGGTGGTATATCATTATTTACAAACATCAGTCGTTACATTCTGAAAGAAGGAGAGACTTAGAGGCTGATCAAATCGAGCAGATTTGCTTGGAACTTAAACAGCACCGTTGTGCTTCAATGCTTCTTTCATGCATATATCGTCCTCCGAACTCCAACACTTCGTTTTTCGACTACTTTTCGAACAGCATCGACCCAATTTCGGCCGAAAATAAGGAAGTTCATGTAGTTGGTGATTTCAACATTGACTTGCTTAATAAATCATCAAGTGATACAAATCGATTAGTTTGCTTAATGCAAAACCAAGGTTTAAAACAAATGCAAATGAACCCGACACGCATCACCGAAAACTCAAGTACTCTAATTGATCATCATTACAGTACACATCCTAAGCATATTCTTGATATATCATCTCCTACTTTGGGCCTCAGTGATTATAATCCCACATCTTAGTTCGTAAACTAAATGCAAATTTAAAAGCTAACAAAAATGGACATCTTACGATCACATACCGACCATTAAAAAAAGTAAATATTAACAAATTTATTTCAGATTTAAATGAAGTTCCATGGAGTATTCTTGATACTTTTGAAAACGACCTGGATGAAATGTTGTCAACCTGGGTGAGTTGGTTACAAACACGGTTGATCGACATGCTCCGCTGAAAACACTCAGGGTTAAATCTTTAAAAAAACCAACGTGGCTTAATTTAAATTAACGATGAAATGCTTACTACTATTGACGAGCTCGACGAATTTAAGAAAAAATTACAAAAAGGCCAGATACAAAGGGATACCTTCAAGCCTGCCAGAAATAAAGTAGTCCGTCTTGTGGAGAAAGCAAAGAAAGATAACATTGTTAATGAAATTGAAAACAACAAATTTGATTCAAAGGTTCTCTGGAAAACTTTAAAGAAAATTTTCCCTACTAAAGCAACAAAATCAGGCAAAGTGAAAACCTTTGAAAAAGATGGGACAATGTATACTACCCCTGAAGAGATCTCTAACCTATTCAATGAGCATTTTGTCGCTGTTGCTAACAACATCATCGAAAGTAACAACTCGACTTATCCTGAATTTACCAAATTGGAAAACTTCGTTAGGCTTCAAAAAGGCATTAACTCATATAATTTAAGTATACCAACAGTAACAGAAAGTGAAGTTTTAGAATTGGTTAGATCACTGCCATCGCATGTAGCAACTGGACTTGACGGTTTGAGTTCTCATCTGTTGAAAATTATTGCATCAGCAATTGCACCCAGTCTAACCAAGATATTCAACTGCAGTTTAATCAATGGCACGGTGCCAAGTGCCAACTGAATTGAAATTAGCCTGAGTTACACCAATTCACAAACAAGGAATCAAAGCCAATCCCGACAATTACAGGCCTATATCTGTTCTTTCTGTTCTGTCGAAGATACTTGAGAAATATGTTTGTAAAAAACTTATGACTTACTTCACAGAACATGGCTTACTACATAAGTACCAATCAGATTTTCGTACTAGCCATTCTTGCGAAACTATTCTTCTCAAATTAACAGATGGATTGACTGACTCGAAGCAATGGACAAAGGACTCTTTACGGGAGTAGTTATGATCGACCTGCGCAAAGCTTTTGATGTAGTGGATCATGCATTGCTCCTAAGGAAACTAGAAATATGTGGTCTTGATTTTAACACTCTGAAATGGTTTCAAAGTTATTTAGATGGAAGATCTCAAAAGGTATGCATTGATGGAATGTTATCAAAGCCGCTTCTTATCGAATCCGGCGTGCCTCAAGGAAGTATCTTGGGCCCTGCTTTATTTTTAATATTTATTAATGACTTACCTTTAGCACTTGCCAATAACATTGGCCTTTATGCAGACGACTCCACTCTCTACGCTTCAGGTTCCACCTTACCTGAAGTTGAGGAGAAACTTAAGCCTGATCTTATCGACGTCTCAACATGGGTTAAAGATAATAAAATGAAACTACATCAATCGAAAACAAAGTATAGCATTATTTGTAGTTGTCAGAAATTAGCTAACTCCTTGAGTCAAAGCCTCAATCTAACTTTTGATGGGGAACCAATAACCCAGGTAAAATCTGAGCGTGTTTTGGGAGTGTATATCGATAACCATCTCACTTGGTCTACCCATATTGAAAAATTACATCAGAAATTGCTCAAAAGAAAAGCTGTCTTAGCTAGAGTGAGAAAATCACTACCGTCTAATGTTATATAATGCAAGCATCTAGCAATTGTTTGAATACTAGCACTGCTATTCTGTTTGGAGCAGTTGTAGTCAGGGTAACATCGATGATCTTTTCAAATTGCAAAAACGTTGTGCAAGACTAATTTTGGATAGCCATTCAACATCAAGATCTTTTGAGAATTTCCAAGAATTAGAGTGGCTCCCAATCGACCAAATGTTTGTTATAAAAAAAATTTGTCTCTTGCAAAAAATTATCAATGGTCAAACTCCAGAATATCTAACAACGAATTTAGCAACTTTCCGATTCCAACATCAATATAGTTTGAGAACAAAAATGAGTATCGTATTCTGAAGCCTAAAACCAATGCTCTGAAAAGAACATTTTTCTATTCAACATTAAAATATTGGAAAACATTGGGTGAAGAGAAGAATGGTATACATTATTTTAAAGTAATGAAATTGAAGTTGCACAATATACCCTTTTCCAAATACACAGTTGACAATTTCAAAGTTCAAAGATTATATTAACTCACATATAAACTTATTATTTTATTAATAGTGTGTTTTATCATCTTTTTATTTTTATTTACTAGTACATTTAAATTTCTTTACGATAACATATTTCTGTATAATTTTGAGGGCCACTAGGGAGAATACGTTACTGTAATTGGTGCTACCCTCGTTAAATAAAATTTATTGTATTGTATTGTATTGCATTGTGTTTTATAATGGATTTGAATAGAGACTTAATTTGAATACTGTCGTGCCATCAGAAACAAAAATTTTCAATTAAGATAAATAGTGAGAATGGCAATTTGGATTTTATGCTTTTCCCAACTGCATGATTCGATGGTTTATATTTTTGGCAACATGCATATCGTTAAAATCCGTTTCAATTTTGTTCCTCCTCGTTCTCATGAACCAAACAAACAGAACCCTATTCAAGCTGCTTCTGGCTGTTGTGAGCAATCGCGAAGCCTGAAACGAGTGAAGCATGCCGACAGCTAGAGGACCGTACCAATAAAATACGTAAACAAAGCGAAATGGCCGAATTTGTGTCCGTTTGCATGCAAAACCTCCATTCTTCGTGTGAATCTATAAACCGTATTAATTAATTTGGTTCTTACAATGCATGAACCTGCATGAAAGAAGTGTTCAAAAGGGATGAAAATTGCAGCTTCTGAATTATTGTCGTGCCATTCAATATGCCTCAACTTGACGAAAAACTAAAAGTGTTAAGTTGGATTTAAACCTGTAGTAAAAAGTAAAAGAAAACCGTTAGACTTAATAATATTATGTAAATCATCATGCTCCAAACACTGACGCACTATATATATATATATATATATATATATATATATATATATATATATATATATATATATATAAACAGTTCAAATTGTATGCCTAACAACTTTTGCAATATTGTATAAATTAATTATCATTTGCATGATTGGCACAGTTGTAAAATACATTAGTATCAGTACATGTGTTTGAGAAAAAAAATTTTCCAAGAAAATAAAAAAGTCGCGCCGTTCAATTTAGTATTATAATGTGTACTATTTACTTGAAACTGCCGAGGCAACCTAAACCGAGAGGGGCTCAAAATTAAAACCTTTAATTTCTCCGTTTTAAGCCAGATGCTCAATTAGAAATTTAAACCGAACGGAAATATTGGACAAGAAATTTATGCAATTGGTACAAAGTAGAAAGAAACTTACCAA